GAAGAACATACACATTAAAAAAAAACAAAACAGGAAGTTGAAGAAGATAATGAAAATGATTTGAAATACAGGAACATAGAAAAATAAAATAGGGTGCAACATGGAAGATAACCTTGTTTTTCCTTCTCTTCATTCTCAGTTTTGTTAAGTTTGAGGTTGATAAGGTTAAATCAAAACAAGTATGAAACCTAGAGAAAGTAAAAATGAGAACTCATGATGCCAGGCAGGGAGAATACATGGATTAAAATAAACATTCAATTTTTGGAGCAACTCACTCTTACAAGGAGAAGGTTTTGTAAGCAGACAATGCTGCGCGTGGGAGACCTGCTCTCTCAAAGGTAGTTGCCAAAGGGTTCAAGACAGCAGAAGGAAACATGTATCAAATCTCAGGCCAGTCTCATTCCTCCAGAAGAGAAGCTGCTTTTTTGGACAAAACCCCCAGTGTCCTGTTGTGTGTGGTCTCTTCTGCATATTTTAGATGTTTTCCTTATTTCCAGTGGAAGAAGCCAAGATCAGCAAGTGCTTACAGAGTAGCTGCTTAGTTTCCTTACTCGGTATACTACAATGCAAAGAGAGCAGTCCTTATCTGATCACCTGCCAGGATACCAAAAGACCGAGAGAGATAGGCAACACAAGAAATGGCTAAATCTTCTTTCTCCATTGTGCCGTAGAATGATTATTTTCAATATGAAATTGTTACAGTATATTCTTCACATTGTTTTGTGTTTGACAGCAGTGGACTTTGAGTACCAAATTTTTTTTTAACAGCTACTATGAGGGACATATTGTGCTGTGTGTTGTGGTCACGTGGATGAAAGGAGTCGGCCATGTTAACTATTAAACACAAAAGCAGGTGATAGTTACCTGAGAGATCCATGCAGGGGAGAGTCCAGGGGAAGGTGACTGATCAATGCTTTGTGGGGGGAGGTAGAAAATGCTTTCTGGAGGAGTTGATGGGTGGATTAAGGAAGACAAGACTTGAGCAGGAGTTGTAGCTACTGGCCAGGAAGGAAGGGTAGTCAGAGTAGAGGGAGCAGTGTGAGCAAAGGACCAAGATGTGATACTGCTGGCCTGCCAAGCTACTCAGTGTGACAGAATAGGGCAAAGGAGACAAGAAAGGAGAGGACCAAATCACAGGGTGAGTGATTCTGAAAAGCAACAGGCTCTTCAGGAATAAACAATCACCATCATAAATTCAGACTTTCATGTTATTTCCTGTCCTTTTAGGGCAGCTCGAGCCTTTTGTTTGACTTGACATAACATGAATCCAAACTTGGGTTGTTATCATTTCCCCAGGCACAGTAGCATCAATTTCTTGAGTACCTAACTGGAGATAGAATTTGACAGTGTCAGCATTTTTTGAGCACCCACAGAGTGGGTAGAGTGTAGTAGAAAAAGAAGAACATGGTCCTTGACCCCCAGGAACGTGCCTTCTAAGAGAAGATAGCCTGAAGTGACAAGCTGTCGGAAGTCAGTGTTTTAAACTGTGGAAGAACAATCTGATAGAGTGCTTATGGTACTGAAGAAGACTTCTTAGTGGAGAAGTTAGTTTTGAAATGAATTTAGAAGAATGTGGGGAAAGATGCATCCATATATATTTTAAGACCAAAAACATTTGCTCTATCTTCAAGTTTACTGTGGAATGTTTATTTCCAAAAAAACCAAAAGCTAATAGGATGTTATTTAAAACATGCAAGTCCCATTTCCTTCATCATTACCAACACTCACGTAAACGCATGGAACAAACATTTAAAATCTTGCCAACAGCTTTTTTTTTTTAATGTTGAGATGAAGTCTGGCTCTTGTGGCTCAGGCTGGAGTGCCATGGCTCGATCTCGGTTCACTGCAACCTCCACCTCCTGGATTTCAGGCGATTCTCCTGCCTCAGCCTCCTGAGTAGCTGGGATTACAGGCATGCACCACCATACCCGTCCAATTTTTGTATATTTTGTAGAGACGGGGCTTCTCCACGTTGGTCAGGTTGATCTTGAAATCTCGACCTCAGGTGATCCGCCTGCCTTGACATCCCAAAGTGTTGGGATTACAGGCGTGAGCCACCGCACCTGGCCTGCCAAGAGCCTTTCTATTTTTTGTATACCACCTGCTGCCAGACCACAGTCCACGGCTAGTTAAAGTGATACGATCTTCATGTTGTAATTCTCTTAATCCTAGATGCATGTGGGCCACCACCAACATTTCAAGCTATGGAGCTCACTAGCAGACCAAAACCCTATTATAAGGTTGGGGAAAAAGTAAACTATGACTGTAAAAAAGGATACCACCACTTCGCTCCTTTTCTCACCCATACTATTTGTGATCGGAATCACACATGGCTACCGATCTCAGATGAGCCCTGTGTTAGTAAGTAAACAAGCATTTTTTTTTTTTCCTTATTGGCTGTAGAGACTTCTTTTTTTATTTTATTTTATCTTATTTTTTTATTTTTCCTGCTGGCTCTAGAGATTTTTTGTTTTTTGTTTTTGTTTTTGTTTTCATTTTTCTCTAGAGATTTTCACACATTTTAGGGTACATATTTCAATATGGTGATTATTTTTTTTTTCTTGTGAAATGAGGTTTAAGATAGCAATGCTTTTTTGGAGGCTTTGAGAAACTGAAATCTCCAAGAAATCTTTTTCTTGGCAATAGATTGCGTAGGTGAGCATGAATCTTAAGTTTACCCTTATAATAGGTAAATAAAGAAAATAATATTCCCATGCATTCAAAAGAGCAATGCAGAATTTTAATTTTGATTCAGATCTTTAATAACTGGATTGAAAAAAATTTCAATTTTTTTTTTTTTTTTTTTTTTTTTTTTTTAGAAAAAGTGTGTCACTATATACCTAATCCTTTACATGGCCAAGCAATCCTTGCAAATGGGACTTACTCATTTGGAAATCAGTGACGATTCAGTAGTAT